GCTAAGCGTTCTACGAGCGGCGTGACGTCAGGGACCGGAAGTGGCGCGCGTAAATGCCAGGCGTTGGGTCCCCCTAGCGTGCGGGAGGTGGCGGGGAGTGCCAGACGAGGGATTCCCCGAGGTGGGTGGAGGTCGCGTCGAGTAGGAAACGGGACGGGAACGTTAAGGGTGACCGTGGAACGAGGAACGAGGTAAAGAGAGCTCGTTCGACAGACGAAGAAAAAGAGAAAGAGAGGGAGACAGTGAGAGCTGGTTGATGGTTTACGACATTCCGTTGGTGGCCGTAGTGGCGTAGTTGCGACGTCGAGCCCATAAAAATGTAACGAGCCTGTAAACGTTCGTTTATATTGGCCTGCCTTTACACCCGTCCGGATTGGGATAGGTCACGGCACACCGTTTCACCGGCTCTTAGCCACTCTATGCCATGTGACGTCACGTAAGACGGACGTGAGACATGGTGTATAGCACACTAGGTTATACAATCGGTATTAGGTAGACAACAGACCGAGTTGAAGAGGTAGACGGAGGTCCGCCGCGAGTTTTACAGCCGATAAACGCGGACTGTTGCGCGACCCTATGCAGACGGTATCGGAAAAGTACACTTTCAGAGAACTCGATGATGGCAATGAAACAGTCGTGACCTTGAACGTTTGATGGAGTAATGAATGAAAGAAACGCCTTGATCGTGCTTCATAAACTAGGGTAAGTGGTTGCTAGAACGAGGTGGCGTGTGGATATTGGTCCGTCGCGTCGTTATCGACGGGACCTTGAATCTTGATTCTGGAGCGATCGTAACCGGAAGCTTTTATTCTTCCCTAACTATAGGAGCTAAGATGGTTAGGCTTACGCTGAATCACTATAGTGACCATTTGTAAGGGGTTCAAGAAGATACAGGATAGACAGCAATACTGAAACGTTGCTTATGCAATAAAGAACTTTAAAAAGCAAATGACTGCTAAGAAGGTAACTGTTCGGGAAGACTGAAGAAAGAAATAAGCGCCTAGAAGGACAAAAACGAGCGTGGCCCGTCGCAACGAGTCCGTTCCCCCCGGTGCGGTCAAATAAAGCTGAACGAGCCCGTTTACGGCCGCCTATAAACTTTTAAGCGTTCGTAAAACGAGCGACCGCGGGTTCGCGACGCGCGAAACACCTGACGCGTGTACGGTTCGTCTCGCGTGAATCACGCCTTTTACCTATGGATGTGGATCGATGTCAAGGTCGGCGACGACTCGGCTATGCCGGAAACGTTACGCAACACGAATCGTAAAACACGTTCTCGCGACTGGCCGCCATTCCTGGCTGGTCTACTCGTCACCTGACTTCCAGGACAAAATGAAAGTCAACGATCATTTTGTTTTCTTGAATTCGACCAATGGATCACTTCTTCTTCTTGCCTTTCATTTCATTTGTGAATCAATGAAGGAGATGTCTAATAACATCTAATAAATGAAGTTGTGAAAGTGCTCTTCTTCATCTCCTAACTTCACCTTCATCAGCTTGTAACTAATCTAGATTGATGCTACTTGATATCCGAGAGGTATTCGCCAAAGATGAAGATCACTTCCTTGAGAAACGTGTTGACTCCTATACATCCATAAAGTAAGGATAATTTACGTGTGTAAAGTAAAGTAAAATCGTATGAACGATGCTGCGCGTGGACAACCGTGATGCACACTACTCTTTCCACAGAAGATTTGCCGAAATTACAGATGAATAAAACAGACAGCGGCAAATTTTATGCTCTATTCGTGCTGCTATCGCCATCCGTTAAACTGTCATCGAGGTCATCGCGGTATGTAGCCTCCTGTTCGGCATTCTTGTCTGCCGATCGTCTCGTGTCCGAAGTTCAGAGAGACACCGTTTTGTGTTCGCTCGTAAAGCTGGCAGCTTGCGTAATCGCTCGTTCCCTCGATCACTCGACTGTCTGCCGTTTCTATAATGCGGTGTAGCTGCTTTCATTCATGTCCCACCGCTATTTGACGGGCAGTTTCTCGTAATACCTTCGGATACTATCACTTTGTTCTCGGGTGGATATTTTGAGGTAAATCAAGCACGTTCTATCTTGTTTTTCGTTTTATGCTAGGCATATGATTCTAGACCTGGATTCGAACTCGGTTTTCCGATTACCAGACGATTGCTTCCCTAATTAAGCTATCTAAACCGTCGACGAATATTCTCTTCTTAACTCTTACGAGTTACATAGCTATATCGTAGAAATGGATTCTAACATACTATAGTTATTTATTAGAATTGGCAGACAGTAACGATGGTGAACTAGGTAGCAATACGGAGGACCATGGTATTTATCTAATATACCTTCATGTTAATTTACTAATACAGGACCGAATATTTCTTCATTAAGTACCTTATCAATAGAGTTTTTCGTAATTCAAAATGTCTCGTTCTCGATTCTTTAAAATGGATGCTATAGGGAAAGTTTTCTGATGGAAATGAACATCGATCGCCTTGCTTCACGGTGGAACAGTTTTGTTACTGGCTGACCAGGAACTGGTTTGGGCAGTTCTGCTGGTTTACTTTGAACGCTCCAATCGAAGCTGTTTGTAAACCAATAGTTTCGTCCGGCGGCCATTTTTGTACATTAACCTCCAGCAGAAAACATCTGCATCTTATTCGAGTTCCTATACATGTAGATCTTGAAGCGGTTAATATGTAAATCGACTCTACTTTCAATACTCCGCTACACTTATCTCCTCGGAGTTTTATCCAACGAATAAGTGGATAAATGTATCATATCTTTATCGCATCATAACGAGTTTCTAGTAAATGTTCAAGTAAAGTGGTTTGGTAATCGTTACTTTCGATCTCTATTAGCTTTATCGCAGTATCTTTCTCACCTGAAAATCTATTAATAGACTTATGATACCGGTGTTTAGCGATTGGAAACAGATTCAATAAATTTTGAATGTTTCAATACTCGAAATATGGCAAACAATTGTGAAAAATTATTAATTAACTAGCAGCACAAATTTTCACTTAATGTAAATGGTATAATAAACAGTGTTACTTATAAGACAACCTAATGAGTGTAGATAATTATTACCACATCTCTCAAACTTCATAAACATCAGCTTTAAAGGCACTGTTAACAGTCAAGATACAGTGATCTCGGTATCCTTCATATAAGGACTGGCCAAGGAGGCGAGTGTTGAAGGGCAGCCACAAAATATGAGAAATATTAGCAGGGTAAGGAGAAGAGCTTGTCCTTGGGGGACGGATCAAGAGCAGTAAGAGCGAGAGGGACTCGTCTATTTATTGGCTCGTTCGCAGAATGAACGTACAATGATAAAAACCTCTCGCACAAGCGCGAACCACGCTCGCATAGAGGCGTACCATGCAAATTCGAGCGCTGATAAAATAAATGAAACTTGTTCGCGTCGAGCGGCGTTCATGAAAGAAGGAACAGAAAAAAGAAACCTCGAAAACGTACAAAGATTCTCGTGCAAACGTCTACGTAATTGCGTTTACGTACGGTTCATTAGTCTGTTCGAGTCTGGAGGACAGAGAGATAAAGAGGAAGGGAACTGATGAGAAGAAGACAGAGAAGGGCTGGAGGGAGGAACGGGAAGGGTTTATTCGTGGAGCCGGCAGGCTCGTTATCCGTTCGGTGCCTCGTAATATTTCGTGATTCCTCCTGGCCCGTTCTCTCTTTCTCTCTTTCTCGAGAGCACCCTTAATTAGAAACTTTACTTTGCGCGTTTAAATGCATTACTCGTCGTAATATTGCACAATTTATACCCTCGATGCAACGGATCAACCCTCTATTTCTTGAAAGCAATAGAACTTGTTCCTCTGATATAGACATAACTTAATAGTTTCATGGGAATAGGTATTAATTAGACGTTGATACAGTTTCGTTAGGGACATAGTCGCCATTTTGCTGTGTCTTGTGTTTCGCATCGGGCAATTGAAATACTTGCACAGGAAAATTTAGAGGGATGAGTTTAAGTTTGTAATCAAACTCGACGCCCATTGGTACGATTAGATCCTTTTAGAACGAACGGCGGACACGTCGAATCGTGAATAACAATTTTACGCTAATTTAACAGAATTACGTGTCCGAATACATTCCACGTATCGTTCACGAATATTTTTCTGTTAGAAGAGTTAAAAGCGTTCACACGACTAGCTTTCGAGTTAGTAAGTTTCGCCCAGAAGACGATGTCACGTATTTTTAGCTTTTCTACCTCGGTTAACTGCCACTTATGCTAACGATTTCTCCAAGAAAGGATCTTTCCACGTTCGAAGGAATCTTTGAAACGTCGGAATGGCGCAACGTGATTCCATCGGGGCGAGTAGAAAAATCGATTTACCCGAACGAGCACGATGCACCGCCACTTTTGATGGAGAAATCAACGAGAACGAAGGAAGACTTTGGATCATTTTCCTGATTGTCGTCGAATTCTTTGTGTACGTGTCGATTGTTGTGCAAAAAGTTAACTATACCACTTTGACTCTTTGTGTGGGTTAAAAGAGAAGACAATTTTGCAGATTGAAGCTTCGATGAGTACTTGGAAACGTGGCTGCCCATACAAAAGTTAATTTGAAACAGAAATAACAAATGCCACCTAGGACTTGGAATTTAATGGATACTTGGATCGGTACTAGTGGCAGGTAGTCGGAAATTTCAATTCAGAGGTAAATCGTCAAAATATTGTACACTTCATTATTGATATCGATTATTATACTTGTATAACCACTCGGAGTAATCAGATAAAAAATAACGATTCTCATATTTGCCCTTACATGCAGGAGGTAAATTACAAAAATATTGTTATATGTTGGCTTCCGTACCATCACTGTTGTACCGAAGAAATTTAACAAATAAATACATTATTTCTGAAATAATACCGCTTCAAATAAGCATAGAAGTGAATAATAAATAAGATAATATCTGTAAAAGGTATAATAAGAGTTTATTTCGATAATGTTCATATCTGAGCCATATCCCCGTAGGTTTACTCTTTTTTTCGTTTAAGTGGATCGAAGGATGTTCATTTGCAATTCTGATGCATTCAAGGCTCTGAATTGGCGTTCTGATAATTTCTCCATTGGGGGAAGTTCGTTAAATACAGGTATGATTAGGTACCGAAGCGGAGCACGATTTTAACCGTGGAATTTCATACGTTTAAGAAGATCACGAATTAAATATCTGGAGAGATAAGATAACGGAGTTGTTGTCGTTCTTTTTCAGTGACAGGATTAAACGTGATATTTTCATTTCTGGTCATTCGCTGCAATTATTTCTGATTGCAGTACTGCATGAGACGATTACAAATTGGACAAGGTACGTTTCCTTTCTCATATTGCTAAATGAGTTAAATAAACAGAACAGTCAAGAATGATTTATTCATTACGTAAATTTATCTTATTATAATGAGTATAAATTTTATAAATAATCTTTTCTGTTTCAGCACTGATTCAATAGAATAATGGAAATAATTAAAAATTACGAATTCTTATGTACGTCTACATATGTATCTCGTTTCAGTTAATGATATTTCAAAGTATCATAAGTAAATTATTTTAAGTAAATTATTTTTCCCCCTTGTATTACATTGATAATTTAATAAAAATAGAGAAAAAAATCAAGAGTAATGCGTCCGTAATTTTGTCGAAAGATTGTAAGGTGAATAAAGTATCCCTCGTTTCTACATTCATTTAGAAGAATCAAGGGGAGTAACGAATGATGCATTTAAATAAAAAAATCACACATCAAATGAACTACATTTCTTTTCTTATTTTACACTGAATTACCACACTAACAATAAGTAGAAGAAAAGTAATAAAAAATGATGGATCTATTATGCATGTTATTATTTAAAAATAAGTGCGCTCCGCGTTGAATGAATTTCTCAAGTTAATAACTAGGGAAACAGAGTCGTTCGAATTTAAAAAATTCTATATGAAAGTGCAGTTTGTGTGTACGCGGGTGTGCAGAGGGGTCCATTGACCGTTCGTGTACGCTCATAAATATTCTCTCGAAGTAAGAACCATAAAGAAACCGCTCGCGGCCTGAAAGGGTTGATTTTTTCCTGTGTCCGGTCGGAAGCGAAACGAAGAATAGAAAAAAAAGCAAAAGGATTGAGTCGGTCTCGCTGACCGAACAAGGTAACCGCTCTTCGAGGTAATAACCGAGCAAGGACAAAAGGCCTCGCCTCCTGTTCGTTTATACGACTGGTCACGCCAGGATTAAAAGGGTTGCACTAGCACGAGTTGCGTTCGTTTGGCTCGTCTTCGAAGTCTTTTAGCGGAATTGGAACGTTTGCGATAGAGGAACTGTGCTAAAATTGAAATTGCACTTCAAGTAAATAAAAAAATGAGTTGTATGTCGTATCTGAAGAATCTGAATCTGAATCAATATCGAAATTGAACCAGCTTGATGCTCCACGATTCATGGACCAAAGATAAACGAGGGAAAAAAAGGAATATCGAAAGAGAAAAAAGGGTGAAATAGAGGGGTAGAGGTTGAGTTGAATTCCAAGTGTCGGCTTCTGTCTACTAATTAGTCCGAGGCCGCGGTTCGCTCCATGGTTCCATCAGTATCGGACCGACAAGCGTATTTTCATTACGACCACTTCGAGAATATCGCAATAGATCTGTTCCGAGCGTACGAGAGGAATGGAAAGAGTTAATTAAGCCGATCGGACGCGGTGCCTGTAATTAAACCATACGAATCCCTTGGCGCGACCTCCGCTCATCGAATTTTACCAGCTGCCATTTTGCTTTCTCGTTTACCTCTTCCGTTGATGCCCGATAAACTTTCTGATTATCTTTTCCATTGCATATCGCTCGTCCTTCTCTTCTAATAGGTATGTATTATTATCATAACAACAGTACTACTCAGTTGATCTATTTTCTTTCATTTTTAATTACAGCATCACATTACTTTTGAGACTGTCTTCATCGGTCACTGAAAAATCTTTATGGAATCGTGTGATGCTTACAGGATTTAAAAATCATAAGAAACCAAAGACATATGTGTTGCAGCAAAACGTGTTTTGCACGAGTATGATGACACTTTTGGCACGCGACACTCGAAAATAGACAGATCGTATAAATATTCATGAAACTTCGTCCAAGTGTAATTCCATAGGTTGGTTAAGATGGTGCCGTCGGGCGCGTAGACGCTTTGGAAGACGCTCGAAGGGCAAACGTGACCAGCTTCGCTCACTTTACGACCGCTAAAGTTTGCCTTTATAGTTTCGCGCTCCAAGTGGCTCACAAAAAGCCAAATGGCCACGATTCCACACCACATCGTTCCGTTATGCTACGGGATACCTTTTTAAATATGTGACACCCTGCTTCCGTAAGGTCTACCCTCAACCGATGAGCTCTTTCCATCGTTTTTAAGATTTTACATATCGGTTTCGCTACTCCTTTCCAATTTTTTTTACTATTTTTTGGAAATATCACCAAAAGTCTTAAGATAATCATCAAACGTGGTACATAATTTTTATACCTAATTGAAAATTTCTAAATTTTCTCCAAATTGACTGTGCTGCTTCCAAGTATTCAACAGAGTTCACTTTTCTCTCATTTTTTTTAAATGGCAGAAAAGAAATATTTGCATAAAATATACGACCCGTTAGAGGGTTCGATGGAAACTTTTCCTCGTGAAGATATCGTGCCGCAACACGCGGTCATTTCCAAGGAAGTTCAGCCAAGCACAGTTTAAGCCATGGGTATTCATCAAACTTTGAAACTTTGACGGACTTATGTTAAATCGTCCTCCATCGCGGCAAGGAATCCAGCCCGAGTTGCGTTATCTGCGCTTGGAATTCTGAATCGCAACCAGAAGATGGAAATTGAGACCCTGAGGGGGTTGAATTTCCTTCGTCTCGATTACGCTTCCTCTGCATTAAGCTCTTCCGTACAAACGATAATGAACTTTGTGCAAATAAAGCGATAAAATAAAGTAATTTAATGCGACTAATTGTAAGATAAATTTCCAGTCAACCATAAGATCCATCTATATCCATTATAATAACAATTTCCCCGGTAAACCACTTCCCTATACAAATTTCCTACACCTTCCTATCCAATAAGGTAGAAAGGGTTCGTGGGATTTGGAGAAGTGTCCTTCGGTTAGCAACTAAACCGTCGAAATAGAATGTCCCGTGTCGAGTCATTCTGAAGAGCTATAAAACTATAAAAGTGGCCAGAAAACGAACGGAAGGGTTGAGGGAGGTACGCGTAACCCTTCGTCGACCTCCTGTTTGTTAATTCCATCCATCTGTAAACTACCTTGGAACGTAGCCCATTCAAGGATCCTCCGCAAGGAAAACTTGCTGTTCAGTTGTTCGACAAACTCGAACGAAGAACGCATAGACAGAAAATTCAATCCTAGCATCGCGAGACACGAGTTACAAGTTTTACAAAATTTTATCCTTTACCCTTCTTCGAAAAGTTTCCTGTTCTTCGAAGAGGTTTATTCGACGATTGAGATGAAACGTGGAACCCAAGTTTGTTCGAAAGTGGGCGGAGAAAAATATTCCTTGATTTGAAAAGTGAACCCGACTGTTTTCAAAAATTGTTTTCGAGTGTAAGAACGTCCATGGTGATAATCTTTCGTGTTCTTCAGCGATGCTTTGAGAATACTTCGGTTGGACGTCGATGAGTGGTTAGTTAGAAACACTTGGCTCGGTATAAATCTGTCGATTGGATCGGTGACACTCGAGTCGCACTCGTGGAAATAGAGAATGGCGTCACGAACTTCTACGCTTCAAGATGGCGAAACTGGGCTGGGTTCAATCTAATTATAGACAACCTTCAAGGGGATGTTGGATCGTCGTGTGGTAAGATATATTTCTAGCAGTGTGCTGTTTCTTTTCTTTCTATGAAGGGTAAACAATGGAGACTAAGGGGATGGATTTTCATCAGATATTTTTGAAAATCAATAATGTCTTTCGGTTCCGATGTAATCCAGCGGTGTAAATTTATTTATTACTATTACCAAATTCTCCATAGAATGCAGGTTCACGTAATTTTTAATTTTTTTGCTCAGTTAAATTGTTTCAAGCAGTCTCACGATCAAAAGATCTCGAGAATGGAAAATTTATAAACGTTCGTCGTCGGCTCCTCGAAATATTTCTTCTTTTCGTCTGTCTCCGTTCACACATGAAAAGTATGTGATGTCGACAGAACCTCGTGGAAAGCACGACCCATGACGTAATCCCGTGGGAGTTATGGGAAATGAATTATTACATACCGAGCCATAAGCGACGGGGAACGAACGCCAGACAAAATGGTGTCTCGAAAGGAATGTCAACTCCATCTCTTCTTCTGCCCTGTTTATTTTTTTTCTTCCTTCCCTCATTGCCCAAGCAAACTTTCTACTTTCGATATCATTTTCAACCTTCAGGAAACCTACACTCGAGACATTTAGAGATAAAGAAGAGAGGGAAAATTCGATCGTCTCCTTTTTAAGCTTTTTAGAAATTGAAATCCGAGCGAGATCATTCGATGTTAGATCCTTTTCTTCTTCAAATAAATGCTCCATTCTTCGAACGAATGACTCGTTACCGAAATAGCCTCGGTTAATTCTGAATTCAAGTTCAAGAAACGTCTAAATTCTTGACTCGATTGTGTTCTCTTAGGAAACGAGCGTATCTTTGCTTTTGTTGGAAGTTTAATTTGGAATTGATGGTGATCGAAGATAAATTTTGAAGATTTACTGAATTGGCGAGTAAACTTGATCTTGAGGAGGAATGCGATAATAATGTACGAAATACGAGGATGAAGTTGGCCACCTCGAGCAGGCTTACTACTTGTATTTAACATTCCAATCCAAGTTTGGATCCTCTTCAAAAATTTAAAGTACTGAAGTTACCTTTATCGAAATTTCTGAACTTTCCGAGAATTGGAATAATTTATCCATACTTACATATGCACAGTACTACATTTTCGTTTAATGAATAATATACACAAGCATACGCGAGCAGTTGAATATTATTTCTTTCTTTCTACAGATGAAAAAAAAGCATAAATGCCAAACTTTGTTAATACAGCGGAGGAATTTGCGAATTTAAATATAAGGTATCATAACAATTTTTTATTTTCCAGTAACTCTGCTCCCAGATTATACTTCCCATCTTCAGGAACGAATCGAAGCAACATTAACCCCTTGTGAAGCCGTTCGCCATTAGACTATGTAGCAAGTTGAACGAGCAATTATCCAACTTGTCACCTTCATCCAGTGGATGCGGCTAACCATGCATACGACTTCCATAGTCAGAGGACAGGCAGGTAGACCAGTTTATCGCCGGAACTGCAGTGCTGGACTAATTACGGCTTGATTGCCACTCACTCTCTACCCCTTTCACGCCAGAACCTATTTCACCCCGCAAACACCGGTACGTCTCTTCGTTCATCCCTACTTCTCTCTTCAACAGCCCTTTCGTCCTCTTCACTGGCCAACCATCGCCAAATGACTGTTCAACGTTGTACTTTCGCTTGGTCTCGTGTATGTAATTGTATAATTTGCTCGGCAATTTAGCCCACGGTTAATTTGTATAATTTTCCCGCGGTCGTCCAAGTAAATTCGACGAACCTCATACCAACCCTCTTTGTAGCTCGAGCCGCTGGCAGAACGAGCCAGTAGGGGGAAGGTAGCTAGTTCTTGGCGAGGATGCTCTCAGGGGATTATTTTGTGAGATATTTTCATCGTTGACCGGGCTATAGGGCGTTTCTTTGACCTC